CGAGCCCTCAGCATTAGAGAAGTCCGGGAATTGATCGCGACCCGGTCTCAAAACCAGGTTGTTTGAAGGCCCGAGATCAATCGAATTGGAGCCTCTCAGTGGTTCACTTTCCTTCTTTGCTGTTGTCGGTGCCATGTACAAAGGACACCAACCATTTTTGTTGGTTGGTGCTCTGTTCAGGGCCCATCCTTGGTGCAACCAAGACATGCCTTCGAACTTCGGGCGGGGGGGAACCCCCCTTTTGGTGGCCATTTACAAAGGAAACCAACCGTTCTAGGGGACTGTTGAGAAGCATCTCCACCTTTGCCTCCAGCGATTGAATTTTGCGAATCGGACATGTTACGTACTCAATGAGCCCGCCTTGTTCAGTTGATTTTATGCTACCCAGAGGCTCCCGATTGATTTAGGGCCTTCAAACAACCTGGTTCTGACACCCTCAACCACCTCCGGGATCTCTAATGGAGGGTCGGATCTTCCATTGAAAGCCCAGGAGCCTCTGGTTTGAACAGCTCCTGTTTGGAATCGTCCTTTTGGGTACCTGGTGCTTTATCTTGCTGGTTTGATCGGGAATGAGAAATGGACTGACCCCAAGACAAGCCATTTTCTGTGGCTTCCTGTTAGGGAATCCCCAAAGCCCGTTCATTCTTAACACCCGGAAGGCCATTCCCGAGTACCAGCAAGTTGGAAGGGAAACCACAAAGCAAACCGAGAAATCCATTTAAGGGGTCCCCTAAGAGAAGCGCCCGCCTGGCTTTTTTTTCGCCCATCATCTCAATGGCTCTCAGGGAATGGGGGAAGATCTTAATGGCTCAGTTCCTTCATGGACTTTAGTCACTTTTTAGGTTTGGAGCGTTTCAGGAGTGTTTTAGTCACTTTTTAGTCACTTTCATGGACTTTTTGGAGCGTTTCAGTGGTTTTGAACCAGCTTTTCCTTTACTTGGCCAATCTGATTCGAGCTTCCATGCGAGGGCTGCCGTGTACCAAGTGCTACAGGGATTCTTCCGCCCAACCTCAGAGTTGACAAGCCCCTTGCTGCGTTGCCGGAGGACCTGTACTGAATTTCGCTGCGTGTCAAATCTTCAAGCACATTGCAGTGGTTGGCGGATGACGAGGTCCCGGGTCTGGAGATGGCATTCCATGCAATGGCAGGAGGCATATCTCAAAGAATCGGCTGGGCCGATCATGCAGTTGGCGAATCCAGACTGATGGCCTGTTTGGGACGGTGTGCACACGCTTGCTGTAATTGTTTAAACACGCACAGTCTCGTTTGTTTATAGTCTTTTCCGTCTCGGCTGATTGTGTCCTTATGGAAGCGTCCCCACTTCATCACCAAATGCCCTCCAAATGCCGGGTTGAAACTCCACCCGAACCAGTGCTTCAAGCGTCCGGAACGAAACGAGCTTAAAAGCACCAATAGAAATGTCGGGTGGATGGACAAAATCCTGATCCCTGTATTCATCGTGGTCATCCATCCCAATTGGCGCCCGGCTAGATTTTGTCCATCCACAGTATGGGCGACCAATGGATCCCTTTCAAGAAGGAAATGAAGAGATTATTCTTGGGGCAGTTTCTGGACTCTTTGCAAGACCATCCAAACAACAGGTGTAGACTTTTCTGCACCATTCCCATTCTTTTACGGTGATGCTCCCAAGTTTCCACCCATTCACATGGTGTCCGAAGCTGGGGGATGTAGGGAAGCCAAACAGACACCAGCCACGTTTGTATGATCATTACTAAATTTGGTTTCTAAATCCACATCTACCTTCTCATTAAACCCTAGGTTTTTCAGTAGTGCCCTTTTACCCTTTTTTGGGGGAGCTACTAAAATAGACAACGGAAAAAAGTTGGCACCCTTATTCTAACCTCTCTACTGGAGGACCTAGAAGCTCTTACAGTACATGCCCTCCTTTGGGCCACCCGACGTTTTCCGCGAGGAAACACCCTGGAGTCACGAAGCTCCAAAAGGTCACCTACTGTGGACGAAATCCGTTCGCGCCACTTTGGAACCATGGGAAACAATTTGTTAGTTGGTACAGGGAATTCATCCTTCCAGGGTTTCTTTGGTGGTGCGAAACGGACTTTTGGAACCATCCACAATATAAACAATAAGAAACAAACACCACCTGGACCCTCAAACTACCCATGAAGAAGTGTATTCACCAACCATAATTTTTGGTTGCAGCAACCCACGCTTAACTTGGACTTAATGAGGGTGCACGCACCCACTTGACCCTAAGAAGCCCACTTGAGCCACAATCAAAACCCGGGTAGATGAAGGTTCGCAAGGGCAATCCCAACCATAAATAGCTTCAGAAATCCGCCTTATGAATTCTTGAAGCATGGCTCTGGGTCGACCATTTTAGTACCGGGTTTTGATTATGACTCACTTCATGTCGTCTCGCCGTCGCGCCAGGCTGCCGCTGGACGGTGAGCGCGTGCCTGTACGGGAGTTTTGGAGGCATGCGGCGGAGGAAGCCTTTGGCAAGGTCAGCTCTCACAGGGCTCCTTGGTCTCAAAAGGCTGGCGGAAGGGAGCGAAGGTTGACCCCGGAGAAAGCAGAAGCCCTGCTTATTCTTGGTGGCTCCCAGCAGTTTCCGTTTAACCCACTAAAAGTTAACCTTTTAGCGGAGGATCTGAGGGCAGCCCAGTAATAATAGCGGGGTGAGCTTTCGCCGCCAAAACTTCGCTGAATCTCCAGGAAACGCAGGACCCTACTAATAAACTCGGTTGTGCTTGCATTGGCCCATCCACTCAGGCAAGTGCGTTTTAACGAGTCCCGGCGTTGAGGTTTCGAGCGCGACCTCCATGGTGGTACTACCGCCGGCGCAGCCCAAGTGGCGGCAAGCGGCAGCCCGGCTGCAGCATCCCAGGAGCCGCTTCAGGCGGCCCGGAGGAAACACGGGCGGCAGGGATCTGTGGCTAGGTCCCCAGTTCTTTGACCCTTTTTTGGGGAGGGTGCCCTACTAAAATAGATTGTAAGCAAAAACAGGTGCCCCAGTCCTTTTACTTTTTTTGGGGGGAGGGTGCCCTGCTTTAAAATAGACTATAGTAGCGAAAAAGGGTATACCCTTCTTCTAACTCCTCTACTACTGGAGGACCTAGGTGGAGTCCCGCTGATTGGTTGCTGATGCTAACCTAGATAGCCAAGTTGCTGTTTTTGTTCAGACACTGTGCTGGTTTTTGGGGTAAAGTGCATGGAGAAAAACAGCAACTGGCGATCCAGGTAGTTGGTTTAGCGGTTTGTGATATCTTCAGGATTCCCCTCTTCAGATGGGGGTTCGACTTGGCAGGGTGATGTTTCTGGTTGGAAGGGAGCCAGCTAAGGAATTAAGGAGCTGGTGGTTGGTTGGAAGGGAGCAGCTAGCGTTGTTGGGTTGTGACCCTGGTTCTCAGCAACCAACTTGGCTGAACACTCAAGCTGTGGCTCAAAAAGCCGGTGCCCGAAATGGATTCCCGGTACCCCGGTAAGTGGAATAGGACCAAAAGCTGCGGCCTGCCCCTCCTGCTTAGTTTTGAGCGGGGAGACTTTGCCGAGCCTTTCGGAGGCGGGGCTCGGCTCGGATCTCAGGGAACCCATTGCGGGGGGAACCCATGACATGTGTTCCGGAACCCCCCTTTGGGTTGCAAAAGGGATACCAAAAGGAATCCAAACATTTTTTGGGGTGCCTCCATGTTAACGCACACCCATTTTAAGCACGAGTATGGCTGGTCCCTTTTCAGGTTTCTTTGGGTCGGGTGACGTTTGCAGGAAAGGCCTTTCTTTTGTTTTTCTTTCGGGGAACGCACGCGCCAGGCTTTTGTGGGGTGTCCTGGGGATTCTGTTGCTGACCTACGACGTGGCGGTTCTTCCGCTGCACGTCTTCTTGGAGGAGCATGTCGTGGGAATCTCCAGAAGCGGCCGATTTCCATGGACACGGCCGATTTGTCCCTTGCAATCTTAGGGGAAATCCAATGAGCCCCGAATGGATCCCGTTTTGTGGGGGCTTGGGGGGGGAGGGGAGGGGAGGACAAATGGGCCTGGGTGTCCATGCCATTTGGCTGAGAAGCCACTCACCCACTGGTGTCACGCACAGTATGGTTGGTTTCCTTGGGTGTCCTCATCCTCATCCTCATCCTTATCATCCTCATAATCGTCATCATCCTCATCCTCGTCATCCTCTTCATCATCATCCTCATTCTCATCCTCATCATCATCATCATCATCATCATCATCATCATCATCATCACCCTCATCATCCTCATCATCCTCATCATCCTCATCATCCTCATCCTCATCCTCATCCTCATCCTGATCCTCATTATCATCCTCATCCTCACCATCCTCATCCTCATAGTCCATCCATGCGCATGATGATACTGATGTTGATGGTGATGAACCATCATTTCGCATCCGCAGCATCAGCAGGGATGATGATAATTATCACAGCATCATGATAATCATCATTATGCATCCCCAGCATCACAAGCAGTCATGCAGATAATCATGACTGCGCATCCTTTGCATCTCAAGTCGGCCACGGCACAGTTGAACGTGCCGGCAGGATCAACCTAGTTTGATGATGATCACCATGATGATCACGAGGATGATGATGAGCATAATGATGAGGATGAATCTTCGGTTATGCTTTTGTGCTAGCCACCCTTCCCGAACGCCTCCCCTCTTTGGCGAGGGGTGGGCGGACTTGCTGGTGCGATACGTAGGGAATCAGAAATGGAATGAACCGTGTTGGGATTTCCGAATAAAGGAAACACCATAGGGATGGTGAATATCGGGGTCATTCCATTTCTCATTGCAGCAAGTTTAGGGTAGACTAAGTCCCAAACCACATTTCCGTTTCATATTGTTTTGTTGTTTTAAGCATATGTACATATATATACATACATATATATTGATTCTGTGTGCCGCATATTGTTTGCCTTTTTTTTGTGACTAGACACTTGGTCAATGATATTGCTTCGGGTTTCCGCGGGGTTGAGCAAAGAAATCGGATCTGGGGTCCTCAAAAAACAGGCTCCAGGTCCCGGCTTTCGGCTGCAGACGGTCGACAACTACCATTGAAGTGGCATCTTCAGGAATGGGACCCACCAAAAGAAACCCCCTGGTGGGGTTCCCTTTAAAGCCAACCAACAAGGGGAAAAAGTTCCCCGATTCCCCGCCCAACAAAAAGACAGACCCAGAGAGGTGCTAGAGATACCACTATAGGTACATGAGTTTCTTTACTGAGAGCCGCAAACCAACCCAAGCATCTCTCTAAGAGTTTCGGGTGGTGAGTTTTTGAGGGTACCCTTTTCAGCTCATGGGACACCCAAAGGGAATCCCCATTCTTGGTGTTCTCGAATGTTGCCCATGTGACCTCACAAAGGGGAGCAAAGTTACAGCTGTCATTTCACGCAATAGTAGTACTTTGACAATCTTAACCAGGGATAAGTAAACCCCTGGTTGATGCATTGGAAGGTGTGTAAGAGTGGATCCTTCACTTTTGTGGGTTGGATGACCAGCCCTAGGTCTAGGTGGTTACTAAACCCAACGTCCCTTAAGTGGGTTGTGGGCGACTACTGATGAACCAGTATTATCAACCACATACCAAATGGACTGGTCATCCAAGTAGGGGGGCCCCCTTGAAAGAATTTACTTTCGCTTCCTTTCTTGCTAGGGGTCGAAGGTCTAAGTAGGGTCGTTCCCTCGCAACAGACCTGGCCATACCAAGGAAGGGAGTTGTCTTTTCTTTCTTTTTTTGCGGGAGGGGAACTGGGGGGTTCCATTTTGTTCTGACTCTAGGACGCCTTAGAGAAGATGTAGTGGTCCAGAATCACAGCAGCTGCCTCAGGCAGCCCGTAATGTCGGAAGGAACTCAGAAGAGAAACACAAGCACAAACACAAACACAACACAGAAACACAAACCACCCACACACACACTCACCGTTTTGATAGGTGGGTTTTAGTTGAGGGCCCCACCAATGAGGATCCGAGCACACTTGGACATATATAGTCTGTTCATGGTATCTGAATGGAGACTTCTCATCCATGAGTTTGTTATTTACATCGAACTGCAGGGTTTGTCCACCCCTTGCAGTTGCTTAAGATTATGTGTTATTTTTATCTCTTGGTGTTAAAGGGAATCTATCATTTTTCCCAAGGGGCTGAAGCAAATGGAAGATCCAGTTTGTTTTGTTGGATGTCGAGTTGTGGGGTCGCGTCTGTCGCGAGGAGAGTCTAGTGCTGAGCACAATGAGCTGGGTGGCACTTGTCTACTGGAACCTGGACATGTTCTTGAGCTTCGTGACCGGCTCTTTGGCCGATGTCAAGGGAGCCGTGGCAAGGGAACCGTGGGCAGTCAAAACGCTGACCCCGGATCTAAGTAGAACCGCTGTTTATTGAGTTGGGGGTGGGAAGCTAATGTTGACCCCGGATTAATCAACCCCTGCTTATTCATATGGGGGTGTCCATTTCTGGTTTTAGTGGGGAATCGGACCACTTTAGGCCCAAAACCACCCCAGATTTATGGCAAGGATAAACCCGGCGTTCAACTTGTCGCGCAATGCGCGGATGGCCTTTCAAGGGATGGTAAGGTGTGTTCACTGCAACCGTCAATGTTCAGTGTCGTCTTCTGTAGAAAGGGGATGACATCGGGAATGTCACCAGAGTTCCGTTGGATGAAATGAGGCTTCGTGCGCTCCTTTGTGAAAAACCACGCTGGCGTTTCTCGCCAAATTCCTGTGCTGCGGACACCATGAATGTAATCTAGTTGTTTTTCTGGGTGGATAAGTACTTTTGTTGTATATTAGGGGCCGAGTTTTTGTTGTATATTGGATTATATTAGGAGCCGTGCTGCGACCTCAGCGTGGCAACACGCCAGTATTTGAAAACATCTTTGTCATCCCTGGTACACTGCACGGCCTTGTTCCTCCAGAAACTTTCGGCTGGATTCTGCCGACGTGCGAGGGTGTCTTTGATTTGTGTGCCTAGCAAAGCGCGTCGGAAGTGTTGGTCTCCTAGGTCCCCCACTAATGCCGTTTCTCACCCCTTTTTTGGGGGAGGGTTCCCCTGCTAAAATAGACTACATAAAGAAAAAAGAAAAGGAAACACACGGGTACCCTTGTTCCAACCTCTCAAATCTGGAGGACCTAGTCTCAGTTCCGGAGTTCCTAGACTTCACGCTTTCGGTTTTCGACCGTGTTTTGGTCCTCCAAGACCTCGCATAAGAGAGCTTTTGATAGGGTCCCAGAGACCTCGCTTATTGAGCTTTTGGTTGGAGTTTGCGGGCTCAGTCACAACCAAAAGGGTCATGTGGGTGTAGAAAGGGTACTATCCTAACACCCGCACAAACAGAAGCGCAAGCACAAACACCAACACCAACACAAACATAAATACAAAAGCCCCACACACACCAAAACAAACAAAAAAAAAACAGAAAAAAGAAGAAAACACCCCGCGTACCCCTGCCGCCCACACCCCTGCCCCGAACACCCCCGCCGAACCGCCCGCCCGCCCGCCCGCCCGCCCACGCAAGCGCAGTTTGTATCCTTTGCGTTGCTGAGGCTACTACAATGCCGGGGTCTTGATCCTGGACGTGCGGCAGACCAGCAAGAGCTGCTCAGTCCTCCAACAGAGCTTTCCCGGAAACCTTTTGCCGCCGCGGAGCGGCGCCCAAGACGAAACTTCCATCGGCCATTGGTGGTTTGGTGGGGCTACTACCTTTTTTTTGAGGCAGGTTCTAGCCCCATCGAAACCGTTGAATGCTAACCATTGACTAATATCCTGGTTTCACAAAGGTTCTAGCTCCAGTCTAAGCTATTGACTAATCACCATGTAGAACCGACCGTCAATCGCTCGGTGGGTTGAGTTGGCTGCTTGGTTTGTTGGTGGAAAACACTCCACCCGGACCCTCGCAATTCTCTGAACAAATGGCTAGTTGCCCATGTTGCCTCACTGAAAAAATGGCTAGTTGACCCAAAATGAGGCGAATACCTTTGCCATGGGTAGTTTGCGGGTCCAGGCAGACCCGAGGCCATGTCAGCATGGCCCATGTTTCTCTTGGCTTTTAAGGACATGTAGCACTGGACGTATGTTTGTTTGTTTCTTTTAGCCAGAGGACGAAGACGCACATGGAAAATGAAAAGGTCGATAGGACAACCATTGGTGAATTTGAGTGAGTCTTGTAGGATTCCCAGACCTTCAGTGCCCCTGTTCGCCTCAGAGGCTGAAATCAAGAGCGCCCTTTCTGTTAGCTCCTTTTTGCGGGTGCGTTTTTTTTCTTCCAAAAGTTGAAACAACAGGCTGGGAGGGTCCAACAAAATGGGGCTCAACAACCCTTGGAGATCCTAGAAATTCGGGATTGGGGACGTCGCGCAACTGATGGCGCAAGTGAGTATAGGCAACCAGGAGCAACCATCCACGATAAAACCTAAAAGGTAACTATATATTCCGAAGGGTTACCTGCCTATAGCGGTCACTGGAAGCGCGGGTCCAGAATTCTGTCCTTTTCCGATCCGGGGAGTGAACGATTGTGATAGGTATTGAAACTGGCACATTTTCCGATAAATTGTATGGGGCTGTTTCTCAGCACTCGGAGTTAACCTTATGTGACAATTGGGTCTGTTTTTTTTCGGAGTGGCTCGCTTTCTTGTTGTGGTTTGAATGGAAAACCAAGAGCAAAAACCCAAATCCAATTCGGGATTCGGGGGGTTCCGATTCCTAAGCAAAACCCACGTTGCCCGTCGACCGTCTCGTGGCCGTGGAGCGAGGCTACATGAGGAGCTGGTTCCCCTTCGACCTTGGACTGCTTAGTATCGAGTGGGTCCTGGTGGCAATCACTGCACGCCCGGAGGTCATCAAGCTCTCGCGCATGGCCGCTTGCTGGAGCTAGAGCTAGCCACAGACATTTCTGCCAGTTTCCCGGTCTTTTCAGAGGGGGTTCCCTACTATAAAGTCAACTCTTGCAAAAAGGATGACGCATGAGCCGTCTAATTCACCCGCTAGACCGGTGTTGTGCCCCTTGGTTTCCTTTTTGTCAGTTGTGTTGTTTGAATCGGAGGGGTTTCCCTCTAAAGTCAATCAATGTAAAATAAGCACCGGGGGCTCGGGCTCCAAGTCTTCTTAAACTAGGGAATCCCCCCAATCGGTGGGTCTTCCCCTTGGTTTTCCTTTAAACCCACCTAAGAAGTGGACCCTCAAAAAAAGAACAGGCCCCAATTCGTTTTTTTGTAGAACATGTCTGGGATTGCTAGTAAAATGTCCTTAAATAGTCCCAAAGAACCAGGTTTCATTTGGGAAAATACCGCAATGCGGTGATTCCTTCAAGAGGGTGTAGCCCAGTGGCTCATACAAAAACCCTAACCCCATCGGCCATCTTGGGAAGATAAGGAGCTACATGCTTGTACACATGATTATCGTAGGTCCTTATTGCAGGTGGTTCTACTATATTGCTGGTTTTGTCAGGGGTATGGTTTGTAAGAACCTAACGTTGATGTGTGTCTGGAATATGCGACATTCGGCAAAGATTTACAGTCTCTCAATTTGGGAGGGGGACGGGGGCGAACCAATACAGGGGTGAACCACAAAGGGCAGGGGAATCATGAAAGTGACATGTCCTCCTGAATCATTCCTCACTTCCTGGACTTTATACTTTTGAGAAGACCAGTTGAGTGGCAAACAAAAAGTTTGTTGTTGTTATTTTTTGCCAATCCACTTAGGAAGTGGCCATGCCTCGCATTAATCAGGGGGTCAAATGAATGCATATTGGTTGGCTAGGGTTGCAAGCCACTTACCAGAATTGCCACAGGCAAGGCAACTCTGGTAGTTGGTTCCACTAATGTGAACCCCGGATAAACAAACCCCTCATAGGGGGGTGTCCCCTTTTGGTGGGAGTTCATCACTTTTGGAGGGAGCACCCCTCTAATAATGGGACGGGTTCATGAAGCTTGGGTCAACATTGCCTGGTTTATGTGGGGTTGTAGCAACGCCCATGCCGTTTTTTGCAATCGCAGAACCAAAGTCAATGGGTTCGCTGCCCACTGCCGGATTGCCCTGCGTAGACAAGGGAAAAAGGCCACTGGAGCAGGGCTGTCGAAATGAAATGAAATCCGCTTCTGTGATACAACGGATATGGCTTCCCAAGGACGAATCCCCCATATTCTCAGGGGGGAGATTCCCAGACGTATCACAGAGGTGGTTGGATAAACCATGATAAACCCGGAGTGATCCCACAACCCGGAACAAACAATTTGCCACATACCCCAAAAACCACAGGGAACTCAGCTGCAGAGTTTCCCTTGCTGGTTTCTTAGATACCTGCATTCGACCCGAGCCAAAGGTGCTTGCCAACGGTCCCGCCTTTGGGTGGAACCTGTAGATGGCCGAAATCTGTGCCGATCGGCAGCCCATTGATTTTTTTGGCTGATGAGCCACCAACCGGTGCCGATCGGCGTGAATTTTGTCCATCCACTGGAGTTTTGACTGTGACTCACATGTGCGCGGCTTGAGCTACCCACTTGAAATCAGTGCCCTTCAGGTGTTTCGGTGCCCTTCATGTGTTTTTGGGTAAGCCTTCCACTTGTTTCGGGTCTTGGAATCTGAAAACGCAAGCCCAGCCCCTGTCGCCGCCTGTGTGGCGGGTAGGTCAGAAGCCTCCGCTTCCTCCGCCTGGTGCGGCTGGGGCACTTGTCGAAGGCCGGGTCCTTCATCGAGCAGATGGAGGACCATGGGACGATCCCGGTGTCGCGTCGCTTTTTTTTCTCCCCCTTTTTCGGCGTGGCAACTCCGCGGGGAGAGCTCCCTTTCTGGGGCAAGCCTTAGTTCATGGTTTGGATTGGTTTGGGGATTTGAACCCTGTCTTTTTTAGAGGGTAAATGGGGGAAGCCCTTGATGATGCACCTGGCCACACTGTAAAAAGGTTGCGAAATCCATTTCGTTCCAGGTCATGGTTTTGTGGTTGAGCATGGTCGGTTTGCAATAGCGTTTTTTTCCCTTGTGTGTTTCTCTTCGTTTGTTGTTCTTTTCTTTTAAAGAAACCTATCACTGGACATAATTTTGTCGTTCGTCCAGGGACGTTGTTCTGGGGAGAGTGAAGGTTCCTTTCCTCAGGAGAAGTTTCACACTTCGCTGGGCAAAGAAGGTCAGGTAACCTCTAATTGGTGGTTTGGATTGTTTTTTTGGGGTTTTTTCAATCCCCAGCTCCTAGAACTGTAACTGCCAAAATGTTTTGAGTGGGGAATGGTTACCCTCCCTCCAACAATCATGGAACCTGACAGGAGGGTTTTGGAAGACTATGTCCTTTTGGGGAACCCCCCTGTCCACTTCCATGATTGCTGGAGGGAGGGTAGTGGTTGTTCAGATATTGGTGGTACTTACTTTGATTTGACTTGTGAGTGAGATGACTTTAATTGGGAGGGGGCTCTTGGAGCCCGAAGCTTATGTCTTCGGTGGGCCACTGACAATGGGTCCTACTTGCCACAAAAAGACTGACATAGCGGGTCCTAAATTATGTGGCTATACAGACATGCGATTGTTCAACTTTTGCAGCTTATGTTGCCCTCCTAACAGAACATGAGTTTGGTGCGCAGGCTCTCTCAGAGACCTTCGGACTCGTCCACCAGGCAAGTCGTGTGTGTTTTAGATTTTTTTAGTGTGGTTTTACCTTTTCAAGAATGCCGATTTGTTTGCATGATTGTTGCAGGGAGGGTTTCGCTTGCTATTTCCATGTTTCAAGTACCCCTTAATTGTTGGTTTTGGATTGGTGGCGGTCAAAAGGCGTTCAGCCCCAAATCACCAATCCAAGTCACCAGTTCAGCGTGACCCGAGACTTGGAAGTCCAACAACGAGCGAAAAAGCGATTCATTTAAAGGTGGAGCTAGTTCCGCCGGTGTCCAAGTGACGGAGGTGTACTTGCAGACCACCTCAGGAGCAGATCACATCGCAAGTGGCGAGCCTACGATACAGCCTCGCCAAGATTGTGTTGCGCTTGCTGCTGATTAACCACTTGAGCCTTGGCCCTTTTTTTTCAGAAACTGATGAAGCCCGCAAAGGTTGTCCACAAAAGAAAAAAGGGATTCCTCTGCAAACGATGGATGGGTTCCAGTTAAGTCTATAATCTGCAGTTCGGATTGCATGTTGTTGCTTGTGCGAGCTGTTTGTTGCGTTGCTGCGTGTTGTTTTGAATGTGTCGCGCCGCCGCCGCGTTTGTTGTTTGAGTTGCGCTGTTGTGGTTTGTGTTTGCCTTTGTTTGGTTGGGTTCGGCCTGCGTTTGCTTGCTCTTTGTTTTTAATTGTTTGCTGGCTTGCTTGTTTGCTTGTATGTCTCTTTGTGTGCGTTTGCATGCTCGCTCACTCGCTCGCTCGTTTCTTTTGGTTCGGGATTGGGTTGGGTTGGGTTGAGTTCGGTTGGGTTGTGTTGGGGTTCGTTCGCTTGATGGTTGCTTATTTGCTTGCTTGTTTCTTTGGTGCCTGTTGCTTGGATGTTAGGACTTCAACTTTTTGCCAACTATTGGTTTTCCGTATCAAACCACAAACAGTTATTCACTCTTAGCAGGGGAGCAGAAAGCAACCGAGGTTTGTTTGTTTGCTTGATGTTTGCTTGTTTCGTTGGCTTTGTTTGCTTTGCTTCGATTTGCATTGCTCTGCTTGCTTAGTGAGTCAGTCAGTCAGTCCGTCCGTCCCTCGGTCCCTCGGTCCCTCGGTCTGTCGTCTATCTGCCTGTCTGTCTGTGTCTGTCTGTCTGTCTGTCTGTCTGTCTGTCTGTCTGTCTGTCTGTCTGTCTGTGTGTCTGTGTGTCTGTGTGTCTGTGTGTCTGTGTGTCTGTGTGTCTGTGTGTCTGTGTGTCTGTGTGTCTGTGTGTCTGTGTGTCTGTGTGTCTGTGTGTCTGTGTGTCTGTGTGTCTGTGTGTCTGTGTGTCTGTGTGTCTGTGTGTCTGTGTGTCTGTGTGTCTGTCTGTGTGTCTGTCTGTCTGTCTGTCTGTCTGTCTGTCTGTCTGTCTGTCTGTCTGTCTGTCTGTCTGTCTGTCTGTCTGTCTGTCTGTCTGTCTGTCTGTCTGTCTGTCTGTCTGTCTGTCTGTCTGTCTGTCTGTCTGTCTGTCTGTCTGTCTGTCTGTCTGTCTGTCTGTCTGTCTGTCTGTCTGTCTGTCTGTCTGTCTGTCTGTCTGTCTGTCTGTCTGTCTGTCTGTCTGTCTGTCTGTCTGTCTGTCTGTCTGTCTGTCTGTCTGTCTGTCTGTCTGTCTGTCTGTCTGTCTGTCTGTCTGTCTGTCTGTCTGTCTGTCTGTCTGTCTGTCTGTCTGTCTGTCTGTCTGTCTGTCTGTCTGTCTGTCTGTCTGTCTGTCTGTCTGTCTGTCTGTCTGTCTGTCTGTCTGTCTGTCTGTCTGTCTGTCTGTCTGTCTGTAGTTCTAATATGTAGTTTGCTGTTCCTTCTTAGTTGCCCAAGTGGATCTTTTTGCCACGCTTTGGCAAGCAACCAGGGCAAGCTATCATGTAAAACCGAAGGGAGCAGCATGTGCTTGGGGTTTCATTTGCCCAACATGTTCAATTTGGATTTCCATTTAGAGTATTTGTCCCTGAAGAACTGTCCAGAGAGCAGCTATTTCTCAGTCAAAGAGGCAACTTGACCTGAACCGATGGTTTTTAATGTCGTGGCAGTTGAGGATCGCCTGCCTGTGGTATGGACTGACCACCATCCAGGAAGACACGAACTGGGTCAAGGAGCGGACTGAAATTGCGACGTCTTCATGGGTAAAACAAGTAAAACGGGCCAAAACACATGATGAAGGTCCTTTTTTTAGGGACCCAAGTCTTGCTTCAGGTTTCGGAATTCTTCTACAGAAATTGTAGATACGATGCCCCAACCCCATCTCCTATTTTTGTTTATCGCAAAATAGCGAGCACAACCTGACTGCGGGCTTGTGTGTGCACCAAGGACATTGTTGGGGGTGGGATCTTGCGAAATTGCTCCATTGGAGACTCCGCATTTTGTTTGCTTGTTGTACTTTGTCAAGTTGCAGTTTGAGCCCACCAGTGAACGGCAGATTAAGGGGCCTCCGCTGACCCGGAAAGCTTTGGTTTCGCTTTCTCTCTCATGCCTGCCAAAATTCTGAAATTTTGGAGATGCCATCCCACTTAGTTGGTGGTTTGGATTGGTGGACTTGAACCCCCTCTTGTTGATGGCAAACGGGAAGCATTAGTTTTGGTCCCGTATCTTGACCAATTTGGGTCCAGTTTTTTGGGACTTCCTTTAAAGTGAACCTGGACCTTCGTGCTCCTGAAACAAAAGAAAGTAGTTTCTGCCTTTGACTGGATATCCAGGAAGTACCAAAAGCCGCCCCTTTAGCCCAATCTAGGCTTCGGAGCCAGGGTCACAGGTGGCCTTGTGAATTCCTGGATGGCTTTTGACTTAGGAAATGATGTTTCCCACCTCGTATGCCGTGAAATCCTCGTAAGGCACCATAGCGATGTGGGAAACACATATAATATATTTTGTCTTTTTCTTTTAATGTTTTGTTGTTTGCAGCGGGGGAATGTGTCAATCTGTTTTTTCTTCCAAACCGATTTTCTTCCCATGTTTTGCTGCAATGGTTTTTTCATATGTTGTTCTCCACAAGTCCAATGCGGGAGGAGCACGGGTTGCAGAACCAGTCTCCGGGATACCTCTACGCCACGTCTTTGCACTGGGCCTGCAGCCAGCAAGGCGTCGGTCAGACCAATATCGAGGCGGGTCGTGGGATTCGGGATCTCTCGGGGTTTATCCAACCACTTCTGCGATATCTTCGGGACACATGTGGAAACTGGTATCCACTTGGTCACCTAGAGTTCGTTGCCTTCTTCATGGTTGTTGTGCTTCTTGTGGTTTAGTGGTTGAAATCCCGACTTAACTGCTAGAATTTCATTTTTTTGCTCCCCTTCTATCGTCAACCAAGCTTGGTGGGGGTGATGTTTTGAGGGGAGATATCGGGAGCCCTATCTGTGATACATGTTGGAAGCTCCCAAACAGGTGGGGGGGGTATCCACTTCTGTGACACAA